CAGTTCCACGCGCATTGTTGTTGACACATTTTATTAATTTCTCTTCTAAAAGGGAAAATTAAATAAATAGTCTATCTTTGTTTATTGTTATTGTTTTCTTTATTTATTGCTTTGTTTATTAGTTGCTTAGTTGTAGATAATTATATGAATTATTTTTTAACTCCTTACAATAAATAAGATCTTTTTCATATATTTTTGATATTCAATGTTGAATTTACCATCACCATCTTGATGTTTCACTTTTCTTCGAGGAAAATACCAATTTTATTGACACAGAAAACAAGCACTGTGTTTTATGGTGGCTTCAGTTGCTCGCCAATGTTTGCATGACGTAAGAACCAAACAGAAGACTAACTCTACCCTCTTGGCCTCAATCTGTAACAATGCTGATGAGCTGTGTTATATCATTTATTTGTCTAACTAAAATCATTAACACTATTACTTTTAAAAATAAATAAGATAACATTTTTTTCAAAACTTTATATTGCAAAACTTTTATAAGTCTTACATGCAGAAAAGGCCTGTAGGCCTTATCCTAGAAAATAAGTACAAAAATAAAAACAATTGTGTATTTAAAATCAAAACAAAAACAATATATCTTGACAGTGGCCCACAAGAGGGTGTGGCCAGTAATAAAGTCACAGGTAAAAAAGTCACAATTAATTTATGGTGTTTAGTAATAAAGTCATCTATTTCTGTAGTTTATGGATTCACTCTATGTGCAACAAAAAATCATAGTAAATTGATCCAACCTCTAAAAAACTTGATGATAAAATAGCATTATAGAGACACTTGACAAGAAAAAAACATTATAGAGACATGTGATGAGAAAAGAGACACTTGATGAGAAAAGAACATTATAGAGACATGTGATGAGAAAAGATGTTTACACTTATGATCTTCCTTAGTGAAATTCGCCAATGGTTTTAAAATGATAAAAATGTATCATCTATGAAAGGTTACAAAATTCAAGAAACATTATATTTAATCAGTGCTTATTGATGTGGGTATGTATGAGAAAGTGTGAGCGAACAAGTGAAAATAAAATAAAAAGACTAAATGATATTTTGGCCACAAAATAATGTGTCATTTAGAAAGCCAAACTATGCACATGACAGTACCACGGACTGCAGTTTGCCTATGACAAATATATGTAATCTAATATAGTATAATTTACAGATGATGATATCACTGAAAAATGTTAATCTTATAAGAGAATCAGATAAAAATGATAGAATGTACCATATCTCTTCAGGACATGGGCAATCATGGCTCTTCACAATTTCCTATCTCAGGTGAAATATAAGATTAAGATCCTTCGATAAGCACCAGTGGATGTCTAATGAAGTATATCAATTCTTAATCTTTGATTTGGTCAATTAGAAATGTTTTTTATGAAGACTTCGGTAGGAGAATATGAATATAAGTTGTCATTTCAGACGAATGGATGAAGTGAAAATAGAGGTTTTGTCATTCAACAAGAATAAAGCAAAACAACATTTATTGGGAGAACGAATAAACAACCGAAAACAATCAATAATTTGAGAACAACATGATACAATGAAAAACTGTATGTTGGGATTTAGTTATACAGGTTTTTGTTGCTATCTGAGTGTTAAGATTTCCAAACATATAAAAAAAAAAAAAACAACTTTTGAATGAAATGCTAAAGAAAACTTTTTTTTCTGGAGGAAAAGTAGAAGCAGAACGTCAGCTGAAATAACATTTATATATTTTTTCAAAAATATATAATAACAATAAAATGTTCAATTTTCCTTCAATGAAGTTTATTTTATCAAGTAATTAAGTGTTCGGAGTTGTGATGTGAAATGTGTGGAGAAACTTACTTTATGACAGTCAGCCTAATGTACTTGTGAGTTTGTAGTCAATGGCTGCTAGTTGTTCCCTTCTATTGTGTGCATGGACAAGGCCATAGTTGGCAGCTGCTGGCTGTCGTCTCTTACATTGCGTGTGTATGTGTGTGTATGCACATGTAGATCAACCTGGCTTCCAAAATTGTTTTGAGCCATGAGAAGCAGTAGGCTCCTATTTTTGTATCCGTAAGGAGGATCCTGAAATCTAATTTCCCATAGAGGTGTAAGCATTTTGAATACAAGGTTTTCATTAGTTAGAAAATAATTTCACACTAACTCACGAAAATCTTTTTCTTGAATTTGCAGAAGTGGGGAAGGAAGAAATCTTGTGAATCTATAGAAAAGGAAGCGTTTGCTATTGTTTAAGCATTACAAAAACTGCATCACTACTTTCATAATGCGAAATTTACAATATTTACAGGCCACAAACCTCTTCAGCTTATTTTGAAGTCGCCAATAAAAAGTTATTGGCTCTTAGTACTGAAGGATATGATTGTCAGGTAAAACATTTAACAAGTAAAAATAATGTGTGCAGATCTATCAAGATCCCCCAACCCATCATTGGATAAAGATCTTAAACAGTTGTAGATTATTGAACATATGAGGTACAGTAATTAATTGCAATAATTTTGAACCGCAAAATTTTGCATCGTACTGCCCGGAAGAGAACCCAGTTAAAAAGGAAATGAAACTTCAAATAAAAGGTGTAGTTCAGTACAAGATGAGGATAGGGAAAATAAGAAATTTAAACATCGTATTAGAACAGATAACGTGAGTTTTAAGGTGGTGAATAGGTAAATTCAGTTATATGATGTACTTTACTATTTATCAAAGCCAGACGACGAACCTCCCGTATGATATTATGCCCCGAATCATCTTAGTATGAAGATTAATAGAAGTATAACCCGTCTTCATTACTGGCAATTTTTGCGTTCAATTGGAACAATTTAACTTTAAAATCAGCCCACCTGAAAATCAATATTAATAACAACAATTGGGTGCAACTGAGGCACATCCCCAAATTGGTGGGGGGTAGCAATTTGAATGAAGTGTGGCCCTAAAAAGGGCCGTTTTGCGTTCTCAATTTTGCAAGGAAGGAACCTGTCATAATAATAATATACGATAATTTTTATATATAATATAATTTTTTTTATAATTCTAATAATCTTTTGTGCTAGATTTTAACTCTCTAAATTGATTGTACGCTGTTTTTTACAGACATTAAATTTTGCCTTTGATTTTTACGCAAAGTGTAAAAAATCAGTTTTTTCGATTTTTCACCTTCAATGTTGTAATTTTTTTCCAATCAATTTGGACTCAAAACTGGCACTGAAGAATTATCTATCAAACAAAAAAAAATTATTGTAATCAGATGGAAACTGTGGAAACGCATAAACAATATCCAACCATGCACATACACACACACACGCACATACGCACAAACACACATCTAGATATAGATACGACAGTACCATAATGAAAATGGACACGTAGTAATAGAAAAGCGTTTGAGAGCTATAAGATGTAAATACTATTGGCCTGGTATGTATAAGGACACTGACAATCATTTTGGTACGTGCGTTCCTTGTCAGTCTAGAAATCTCCCAAAATAGCATTATGAAAGAAACGCGGGAAAAGCTAAGGATCAATCACATTACGGCATCGCTTTAGCTTCCTCAGAGTAGCGGTAGAATGGAGAGACTTTATCGAACGATGCACGACATATTAGCAAAAGGAGTAGCTGATAATGAATGATCATGGGATGTGCAGTTTTTAAATTAATGTATAATAGAAATGTAGTGTTACCTGTAGATAGTATTTTACAACCTAGACGACCTTACTAGGGAGATGAATATCACCCAAATAGCTTTCCACGAACAGCATAGGGCTTTCGTTAGAATGAAAAAGAACGTATTTTAAGCTAAGAAAAAAGCAACAAGAATATGCAGAGAATAAGAGTAAAGTATAAGCTTTGAAATAAGAGAACCAGAATACTTTAAGAACCAGCGGAGAAGGCATAAATTGGGTAGAAGGTGGAAGCCATATTATATAGTTATAGAAAGAACATGGCCGGTCTCATATAGAATTAAAGATCAGCTTACAGGTGCAATTACAAAGGGGCACGCTGTTGTTCTTTGCAGTGTAAAGGTCGATGATTGGAATATTCCAGAAGGTAGAAATAGACCGATGTGGAAGGTTATTTTAGCGGCACCTTTGAGAGTCAATATCTCAGAGGAGGTCATGATAGTAAATCTGCCGCCCGATAGGAAAGCCCTGAGGAAGAATGCACTGTACCCTCTTTTGGAGAGAGCAATGATATATATAGAGAGAGATTGAAAGGTATTGAAGTCATTAGAAAGCACTGAAAAAAAATGGTTTCCCAAATATGTATTTGTGAAAATATTAGGGTAGCTAAGGGTGTCTTTGTGAATTTCTCGGCCATGTGATAAGGAAGAGAGAGGGGTAGTCGGGGAGATTCGGGGGGGGGGGATTGTTTTAATGTATCTAGGTTTAGATTGAAAATTGTATGAAAAAAAGCGGAATCAAGAAAATGCTGAAAAATTAAATAAGTCAAAATCTGTTCGATGAGGGTATTTTTTTAAATCATTTCACCCCAAGCAAGGCGGGAATGGCAATAGTAAGCAAGGGGTTACAGAAAGTGAAAATAAGAGAAAAGACCGGGTATAGGGTGGATTGATGAAAGGATAAAAGATGAACGGGATTCAAGAAGATAGAAGATGGTGATTGACGTTGCATTTAAATTTTTGAAGATTGTAGTTTTCAGGGAAGCAAGTAAACAGAAGGGAGTTCCACAGGCGGAAATTGCAAGAAAATAAACTGTTTGAGTAGAAGTGGTGGTTATATTTCACTATTCCAACAGTAAAAGGGTGGGACCTAGTTACCAATCCGGTAGCAAGCTTGAATTCATGTATTCTGAGCACCAGGAACAACACTTCGTCAGAGCTTTTGCCATGAAAATATTTGTAAAAAAACAGAGGAGAATGGTTTCCTAAATTAATGGGCTTAGTTTTAAATTTGTTTTAATATATGATGGGCCACTGACAGAAGTGAGGGAGGAGGACAATGAGATTGAATGGACAGTGAGAAAGTTATCCAAAATATAGGTCAGTAAAAAAAAAAGGAAAAAAAAGGAAAGTTGTGGAGGAAGACAGAGTGAACAAATATTGAGACTTGACGAGAAAAGAACATTATAGAGACACTTAACGAGAAAATGACATTATAGGGACACTGTTGATATACTTGACGAGAAAAGAACATTATAGAGACACTTAACGAGAAAAGGACATTATAGAGACACTGTTGATATACTTGACGAGAAAAGAACATTATAGAGAGTCTTGACGAGAAAAGAACATTATAGAGACACTTGACGAGAAAAGAACATTATAGACACAATTCATGAGAAATGAACATTATAGAGACACTTGATAAGAAACGGACATTATAAAGACACTTGATAAGAAAACAACATTATAGAGACACTTTATGAGGAAAGAACATTATAGACAGAATTGACGAGAAAAGAACATTGTAGAGACACTTCATGAGAAAAGAACATTATAGAGACACTTGACGAGAGAAGAACATTATAGAGAGTCTTGACGAGAAAAGAACATTGTTAAGATACTTGACGAGAAAAGGACATTATACAGACACTTAACGAGGAAAGGACATTATACAGACACTTGACGAGAAAAGAACATTGTTGATATACTTAACGAGAAAAGAACATTATAGACACTTGACGATAAAAGAACATTATAGAGACACTTGGCGAGAAAAGAACATTATAGAGACACATGGCGAGAAAAGAACATTATAGAGACACTTGACGAGAAAAGGACATTATAGAGACACTTGACGAGAAAATAACATTATAGAGACACTTGACGAGAAAAGAATATTATAGAGACACTTGACGAGAAAATAACATTATAGAGACACTTGACGAGAAAATAACATTATAGAGACACTTGGCGAGAAAAGAATATTGTTGATATACTTGACGTGAAAAGGACATTATAGACACTTGACGAGAAAAGAACATTATAGAGACACTTGACGAGAAAAGGACATTATAGAGACACTTGACGAGAAAAGAACATTGTTGATATACTTGACGAGAAAAGAACATTATAGACACTTGATGAGAAAAGAACATTATAGACACTTGATGAGAAAAGAACATTATAGAGACACTTGATGAGAAAAGAACATTATAGATACACTTGATGAGAAAAGAACATTATAGAGACACTTGACAAGAAAAGAATAAAGACACTTGATGAGAAATGAACATTATAGAGACACTTTATGAGGAAAGAACATTATAGACAGAATTGACGAGAAAAGAACATTGTAGAGACACTTCATGAGAAAAGAACATTATAGAGACACTTGACGAGAGAAGAACATTATAGAGACACTTAACGAGAAAAGAACATTATAGAGACACTTGGCGAGAAAAGAACATTATAGAGACACATGGCGAGAAAAGAACATTGTTGATATACTTGAGGAGAAAAGAACATTATAGAGACACTTGATCAGAAAAGAACATTATAGAGACACTTGATCAGAAAAGAATAAAGACACTTGATCAGAAAAGAACATTATAGAGACACTTTATGAGGAAAGAACATTTTAGACACAATTGACGAGAAAAGAACACTGTAGAGATACTTAACGAGAAAAGAACATTATAGACACTTGACGAGAAAAGAACATTATAGAGACGCTTGATGAGAAAAGAACATTATAGAGACACTTGACGAGAAAAGAACATTTTTGATATACTTGTGAGAAAGAACATTATAGATCTTTAACGAAAAACGAACATTATAGAGACACTTGATGAGAAAAGAACATTATGGAGAGTCTTGACGAGAAAAGAACATTATAGAGACACTTGGCGAGAAAAGAATATTGTTGATATACTTGACGTGAAAAGGACATTATAGACACTTGACGAGAAAAGAACATTATAGAGACACTTGACGAGAAAAGGACATTATAGAGACACTTGACGAGAAAAGAACATTGTTGATATACTTGACGAGAAAAGAACATTATAGACACTTGATGAGAAAAGAACATTATAGACACTTGATGAGAAAAGAACATTATAGAGACACTTGATGAGAAAAGAACATTATAGATACACTTGATGAGAAAAGAACATTATAGAGACACTTGACAAGAAAAGAATAAAGACACTTGATGAGAAATGAACATTATAGAGACACTTTATGAGGAAAGAACATTTTAGACACAATTGACGAGAAAAGAACATTGTAGAGACACTTCATGAGAAAAAGGACATTATAGAGACACTTGACGAGAAAAGGACATTATAGAGACACTTGACGAGAAAAGAACATTATAGAGACACTTGACGAGAAAATAACATTATAGAGACACTTGACGAGAAAATAACATTATAGAGACACTTGACGAGAAAAGGACATTATAGAGACACTTGACGAGAAAAGGACATTATAGAGACACTTGACGAGAAAAGAACATTATAGAGACACTTGACGAGAAAAGAACATTATAGAGACACTTGACGAGAAAATAACATTATAGAGACACTTGACGAGAAAAGAACATTATAGAGACACTTGACGAGAAAAGGACATTATAGAGACACTTGACGAGAAAAGAACATTATAGAGACACTTGACGAGAAAATAACATTATAGAGACACTTGACGAGAAAAGAACATTATAGAGACACTTGACGAGAAAAGGACATTATAGAGACACTTGACGAGAAAATAACATTATAGAGACACTTGACGAGAAAAGAACATTATAGAGACACTTGACGAGAAAAGGACATTATAGAGACACTTGACGAGAAAAGGACATTATAGAGACACTTGACGAGAAAATAACATTATAGAGACACTTGACGAGAAAAGGACATTATAGAGACACTTGACGAGAAAAGAACATTATAGAGACACTTGACGAGAAAAGGACATTATAGAGACACTTGACGAGAAAAGGACATTATAGAGACACTTGACGAGAAAATAACATTATAGAGACACTTGACGAGAAAAGAACATTATAGAGACACTTGACGAGAAAAGGACATTATAGAGACACTTGACGAGAAAATAACATTATAGAGACACTTGACGAGAAAAGAACATTATAGAGACACTTGACGAGAAAAGGACATTATAGAGACACTTGGTGAGAAAAGAACACTTTAGTGCGCTACATGCATACATGTTTGAAAAAAGAAAAGAAAAAAGTAACATTTTCTGAGATGTGGGTGGCAGTTTTTTGGGGCAGTATAAAGAAGGGTGAGAAATTAACTTCTACCAAGTAAAATCGGATACTCTCCCAGTTGGCTTTCATGTAGCGAAAAACCGTTTTATTAAACTGCACATTAGGGACTGTCTTTGGTTCACCATCAGCTTTGAATTTGACTAATGAATGATCCGATGGATGGGGGAGGGGGTCAATGAAACATTTTTCAGGGCAGTCTTCACTTTTCACTCTCGATAGAGTTAAAAGTGAGTGATAATTGTATTATTACAAGCAGTAAACGTGAAAATTTTAGTTTTCCTTTTTCAATTTTCTGATGAATCAGAATTATTAAATTAATGATTGTATTTTAGCTTATGATTTGTGGATGCATGCTGAAGTGAATGAGGGAGATAATGTAATTATATATATGTATACGTATGTATGCATGTATCCATATCTAATAGCCGCCACTTGACCATAAGGTATGTTTGTTTTCAACGTAACAATGTCGAGTTATCCGTCTAAGGTTGCCAGCTAATCGTGTAAATGTCGCATTTTGTATCTGAGTATGTTGCAATAACTGCAGCATCGGAGAATGGATAAAATTAATTTATCAACTCTGATTTTGATTGATTTTTCATCTGTTTATATATACAGCTATAGATATGCTTTGTAAAGGCTGCTTTCTTCTCATTGGCTCGCAGCCTTATATCCTGATTGTGAATGCTTTCTGATTGGTTGGTAGAACTATGAGGTTTGTTTGACTGGCGATTTTTATTATGCGTCTATTTTTAAAGATGGTGAAGTTTTGGTTTTCTTTTTATTTATTTTTGTTTATTTATTTCTCTATCACCACAATTGAATAAGTTCCTTGCGATTTCCAAGATAAAATACCTGTGGAAATTCACCTATTACATTGTTAAATATATGTCTTAACAACTTTAACAAAATATTGCAATAATATTTATAAGTATGGTTGCATATCATTATTTAAAGAAGTTAGAGGATGCGAATGAACAAATTCAAAATTGACAAGGTTTTCACTGACGTCGGACGATAACGTTCTCATGTGCTTGCATGAGAGCGATATCGTCCTTTTTTCTTTCTTTTACCCAAACCAAATAGCGTCTATAACATATCTTTTTTTAGGACATGAGAGCCATACAAATATGAGTATATAAAAGATTCTACTACGACACCAAGGACTTCAGTTAAGTGGATTTATACCGTTTCATTATATAACACATAGCCGCAAACGGAACAATTTGTTTGCATCAAGAACTATTATTTCGAACAGTATTTGTATAAATGAATAATATTCCTTTAAACTTTCTATTTGTGTTCCGTGTTCTTCCTGTATTGATTATTATTTGCGGCCTAAATCGCCATAATCGTGAAAGTAATTTTGAACGGCTCATTTTCCAGTTCTTTTCGTACTAATGTAGATGTCCCTCATGGCTCCATCCTTGGTCTTACTTTGTTTTAAATTTTCATTAATGACCTACCCGATGGCATCAGCTCTCAACCTGGCATCTACGCTGATCATACAATCATTTACTCCTGTCTCCTGATCAGTTTGATAAGGTCAAAGTAGCAACTGATATGCAAAACGACTTTCAATCTTTTGTTAACTGGGGCAAAGGATGGCTTCTTAGCGTTAACGCCTCCAAGCCGAAACTGTTCTCCATTAATCATCTGAGGAGACCCTCTCTGCATTTTATCAGCATGGCTGATGCTGACCTCCAGGAGAGTGACTAGTTGTGCCTTCTCAGGCTAACGTTCTCGGCTGACATGAAGTGGAAAGACTATATTGAATCCATTGCTAAGTCTGTAGTGGGTTCATGGCAGTTATGTTGTTGATAGAAGTCAGACGTAGAAGTACGCAAGTAAGGTTCAGATACTCCTGCCCGCCGAGCCCAACTACATAAAAAGGTTGGACTTTGATTAAGTCCAAAGAAGAAGGTAAAGAAAGCAAACAAAACACAAGACCGATAATATATGTATATACAAATATATATTAACAAGTTACAATACATGGAAACAGTACAAAGGACGAAGTGTGTGTGAATATTCTGTATGTGCGTGCGTGCGTGTGTGAATATTCTGTATGTGCGTGCGTGCGTGTGTGAATATTCTGTATGTGCGTGCGTGTGTGTATATTGTGCTTAGCGTGTTTCCACGCTATCCCTTGTTAGCGCCTACATTTCGAGGTTGATAGCTGAAATCCTGAAGGAAAAAGAGTGTGTGTGAATATTCTGTATGTGCGTGCGTGTGTGAATATTGTGCTTAGCGTGTTTCCACGCTATCCCTTGTTAGCGCCTACATTTCGAGGTTGATAGCTGAAATCCTGAAGTAAAAAGAGAAATTTACCTAAGGTGTCGGTGCACAGGCCTGAAGGAAAAAGAGATAGAAGCCAAGGGTCAGCGGCTATTTATAGCCAGGGAAGAGAGACCCCTGGTGAAAGGGTTAACGGAGTAAAGGAGGAGTTAACTCCGACAAGTCAGATGCTAAGAAGGTTGGTTCACTGTGTCGTGATAGACAACTGTTCTCTCCAAAATCTATCTTACAACTCTATTAAGCCTACCATTCGTCTATGCTTAGAATGTTGCTGCCACATATGGTCCGGTGCTCTTGCTATTTTTCTAGAGCTCCTTCATAAAATCCAAAGAAGAATCAACAATATTATTGGCCCTGTTCTGGCATCTCAGCTTCAGTCTCTTTCCCATCGCCTCTCTGTGCCTTTTCTATAAATACTTTCATGATAATTGTTCGGATGAGCTTCTCGCTATGATGCCTAAACCCTTTCAATTTAAGAGCAGTACTAGACTGGTAATGAGGTCTCATCAAGTTACAGTTGAGCTGGCTAGATGTAACCATAAATTCTATGCTAACAGTTTCTTTTCTCGCTCTTCTCACTTGTGAAACACCCTTCCAGCTCCATGCTTGCCAGCCAACTTTAATCTGTAAAAATTTAAATGCAATGTCAATCGCTATCTACCGCCTCCCTGATTACTTTTCTTTTGTTCTCGCTCTTTTGCAATGTTTCTCTTTCTAATTCTTCCACACCCAGTAACACTTTGTCTCAGTGGTTTTACTGTCTTGCTGGGGGTGAATCCGATTTAAAAATATACAAATAAAACATGTCAACATTTTTTATTTCAATTTATACACTGCTTCCCTTTAACCCCAAGCTGCGATCTAAATGTTAAAGTGGTTACCACTTTCAAGGCTGTAATAGACGTGACAGTGACTTACCAGGAACAAACCAAGTTCGCTGCCTCGCGTGTCGAACCATTCTCTGGGAGTCGATCGCGCGTACGTACGCCTGCTGCCATTTTTATGCAGCAGGCTTATTTGCATAAGAGAACAACGCTACCTGTTAAAAACCAGGCGAGTGGACGTGGGGGACCACTGCTTGGTGAGACTAGAGACGTATTGCTGAAAGAAAGCGACATCAATTTCTGGATACCTGACAAAGGCAGAAAATGGTTTTATTTAATTATAACTATGCAATTTAATAATTATGAATTCAATCAACAAATTAACAGGATATTCAATTAAAAGAAAAACAGATAGAAACGAATAATAAAGCACAATTATTTGAAAGTGGTTGAAAGGTGAAGATGCAAATTAAGCAAGATGTAAGAAGACACGTGGTAGTAGACATGATAAAACCGCATTTATAAAAGGGAGTGTTGAATATTTCCCGGTTTGACCAACTTTCTAAAATCTGATCGATTGACTATATGCATCAGAAAATTTTGGGAATTGCTTGTTGGACGTGCTTTTCAGCGCCTTTCGTACTTGATGACTCTTAATGTAATATTTGCATACACACATGGACAAAGAGCTAAAAAAATTTTACACCTATTTAATTGATTTTCAGGGCTTCAAGCAAAGGCAAACTTTAAAATTTTTATATCGGTAAGATTTTAAGATCCAAATTTTGAATTATACGAGAAGTGTCCAAAAGTTTTCGGTTCAACTAAAAAGAAGGTATTTTTTAAAATTCTGATGTTTAGTCAGATTTTAAGGAAGTGTGTTAGACCGAGAACTTTTCAGCATATCCTCATATATGGAGAAAAAAAGTAGGTACTACCAAGGATTTACTTAAAAAAATATTGAAAACGCATTTTAATTAATTTAATAAATGTCTTTGAAGTTAAATTTGGGTATTAAATCCGATTGTTAAAGAACATTTTTTTACGTATTGAAATAAGATTTTGTAGCCCTTTTAAAACATTGGCATGGGCCACTCGTTCGTTACTCATCGATCATTAGACAAAAAAAAAAACGAAGAAAAAAAACAAAATTTTAAATCTTTTAAAAATCTAATATTTGTCCAAGAGATTTGTTTAAAGTAATAAATATAATAAATTTAACTAAATTTTGTAAAAAAAAAAGGAATGCTTACTTCTTACTTAAAACATAGCGAAAATAACGTTTATTTAGAGACCTGTGAGGCTGATAGGTACAGTCGCCTTTGAGGTTCGTTAGGTCATCAACGTTAATCTTTTTTTATTTTACTCTACTGTCGCCTCTATTTTTTTAACAACAGATTTTATAAATCTAATTTAATTTTGGAAAAAATTCGGCACAAATTTCCATTATGTTCACGGTTGATATTGTATTTTTTTCCGAAAATAACATTTTCAGAAATATTTCTTTACATAACTCTCTAAAATAAAAAGAAATTCGTGAAGCATGCATCCCTTTCCAGTCCACTATTTAAAAAAAAATGTACACAATGGAAAAAGTGAAACTAAAACTTACCCCACAAAAATTTTCAAAGAGTTTTGTAAAATAATAACTTATTCAACATAAAATTCATTCATCAATGAATAAGTACTGAAAATTTCATTTAAAGTGGGTAATTCTAATTAAAAACTAGGAGGAACCATTTTTTTTTTTGTTTTGTTTTTTAGTTTGTTTTTCGTTATCGAAAATGCGGTTGCCCCCGAAAAAGAAAGTTCAGAATATGAGGTTAGAAACGTTAGATTAAGAAATCTAACAAAGGCAATTATTCACCATTGACATTATTGTTTCGGACATTAAAATCGACGTTAAACAAATAAATTCAACAGAGAAAATAAAATGATTTTTCTCTGTGGAATTTATTTGAAAAAGTTCATTTTGTTTTCAGAAATATGAATTTTTTCCTTTTTTGCGTTGTCTTTATTTTAACCAAAATAAATTAGTTGTCTCATTTCAGTAAAGAAATTTTAAAATGTTCGCCTCTTTTTTATGGATAAATTTAACAAGAATATTGCAAGGCTAATATTAAGTAAAAATAAAAACATGTTATACAATGCAAGGGAGATAATTTAGTTTAAAAAAGCATACTTAAATGTTATAAACTTATATGCGTTCGTTTTTGTTTGTGGATTTGCGTTGTCTGTTTTTGATTTTGTCGATTGCACAGTAGGATCAGTTAGTCACTGTCTGTGAGAAAAGAGCACCATGACACAATTCACTCCGCTAGAAATTTGGAAACTGCATACTGTACTTGGCAACCTGAGGACTAAATTTAAAAATGATGATTACAAAGGTACAGCAGCTCAGGAAACTCACTCTCATCGTTCTGATAAGAAAAGAACTCACAAATTTGTTGGTGAGGGCCTCAAACTCAACACAGAAGCCTACATCAAGTGCCTTGAGAAGGTAATACTGCCCTTGGTCAAGAGGGTGGTTACTGGAAGACCCTCTCTATGGCAAAAGGACTCTGCATCATGCCACACAAGCTGGAGATCACAGGCATGGCTGTCAGATAATATCTGCAATCACCCCTTATATCTGGCCACCTAACTCCCCCAGACTGCAACTCCCTTGATTATTATTATGTGTGGGATGCAGTTGTAACACCAAAGATGAACTGAAGGCAAGCATGGTAGCATTCATTAACTTAAACAAGGAGACTGTCCAGAATTTAGCAGGAGATTCCAAACTTGTCTGGAGGTCGTGATTGAAACCAATGGCAACTTTAGTATTTCAAGATATTTTGTGTAATTTTTGTAAATATATCTGATAAAATGAGATGTCAGTTTTTTTTTTTTTTTTGCATGTGTGTAATTTAGACAACAATTTATCCATCACAGCCTACATATGTGTGTGCGTTTCATTAAAAAATGACAGACAGGGTTTTTTTCATTGTATTTTTCTTGTGTAAAAACAAAATTAATGTGTCAGTCATTTTTATGAAACATATATCAGAGAGGGAATGTCATCCAAGTACACAACCATACGGTCTGCACGTTGACACTGCAACTGACGAAAGATGCTCGCTACACAATCCAACATTGAATACAGCAACCAATTGCATACATATGTACACAACAACACATGGATGCGCATCTATGCCCAGTCCCACACTGTTCATATATGTTTATGTTTGTGTGAACAGCAATGCGTGAATGTGCGTGTATGTATGTCTACGTACGTATGAACGTATGAGTGGCGTTCCGACAACAATTTTTTCTCCCACTACCATAAAAACACCAATATATGCAACCATATATAAATTTTAAAAGTAATCAGTTTGTCTGACAAATAGCATGAAACCAGTGTCACAAAGTCACATTGATCCAACTAAATAAATAAATATATATATATATATATATATATATATATAATTATTATTATTATTATATTTTTATTATAAGAGGTCTTTTCCTATTTTAATTTCTGACCTTATGCCCCCACCCCTTTAACTTTAGGAAAAGAGCTAACAATTTCCCTCAGGAATCATTTTATAACCAGTTACCTACCATCATCTGAGGAAGTACACTCATAGTATTAAAACATGAAAGCTTTTGTGCAGCGATTTCAAAATGTTTTTATTATAACCTCTTATAATAAAAATATAATAATATTTTGCTCTACTTTGTATTGAGCACTTTTTCAAAAAGTAAATACTTCAAACTGTGGATTTTTAATCCATTTTTTCTTTCTTTCATTTTATATATATATATATATATTGTATTTCCTTATATATATATATATATATATATATATATATATATATATATATATATATATATATATATATATATATATATATATACTGGATAAGGGAAATACAAAATAGAAAAATCACCTTAGTGCCATATTTCGTTTAAACAAGGAACTTCTTCAGAGCAATAATTACTTTTTTTTTACATTGTTGTTTACTCTGTACATGACCTTAGAGCCACTCTTGGTAGAGGGTCACCAACTAAGAAGAACAGTTTATGCAGATATGTGGAGAAGATAATTATTAACCCCAAACTTGAACAGGTTAAAATTGTAGTGATTGGGGAAGCATCCTCTTGGGAGTTGGTTTCACAAAGCAGTGATTCATGGGATGAATATATATGTTTCATATATGGCAACAGTGCTCCATTTTCGGCCTGATATAACTCTTGCAAAAATAGAGGATAGCAGAAATCAGGTACTTACTAGAGCACTACAGTGATTCAACCATTTTTTCAAACATCTTTAGTAATGGATCTTGAGGTTTGGTTTGAGTTTAAAGCCCAGTAGATGCTCAAGGTACAGCCCTCCCTGGGAAACATCCATTTATTGTGATTGATGATAGTTCTGGGTTAGATGATGGAATGTATCTAGTTTGGTTTTCAAGGCATTGAATGTAACCAGCCAGTTCTTCTTCTACTGAGACATTAGCACTAGTTACATACTTCAGGAATGTAAACTATTATTATTTTATATTATGAAATGCTTTCACATCCTTTTGATGATGACAAATGGATAAATTCGTTTTTGTGTATAATTTTAAGAAGAATCATTCACATTACAAATTTTATATGAACAAAGGAACTTTTTCATCAAATGTTTGATGCTGTTTCTCTCTCTTTCTCTTTCTATTTCTCTCTTACTCTCTCTTTTGCCATGTTCCTTCAGGATGTTGCCAATTATGGCTCTCCACAGCTTCCTGCTTTTCATAGCTTTCAACAATACTTGTTCTTTTACAACCCCACTTTTGTCTTGTTCCTCCATCCATTTGCTTAAACTTGCCAATTAGATTATTTGTCACTTTTATCTGCTTCTCCTATGTTTGATGGGTCCTGTCGGCATTAAATTCTCCATGCCTTCTTTTCTTGTTAACATACATATCTCTAGTATTTATTTCTACAAAATCTGAGTATCATCTACCATGTATTCAATTGTGAAAGCAGAATAACATATATCATATTTTTATTACTTCAAAACTTCCAAGAAAATTAAATTTTGACATTAAATGACCCATAAGGAGTTGATATGCCATTAAACAGATCAAATCAAATTTTTTCTCATGATGTGTCTTCAAAATTTCAGTTTTGCTAGTTAGAAACAATTCCTTTTTATTCCTATTTTTACAATTGTTA